GCTGGTGGGTTTGCTCTCCCCGTGCAACTGGCGGGCGCCGCGAGGGCGCGTGTCCTTGGGGTGGACCCTGCGGCCCCTCTGGGCTTCTCGCCAGCACCCCAGCCTCCGCCCCGCTGCACTCCCCGCATGCGCCCTGGCTTTCTGGGACTGCACCCCGAGGCGCTCCTGAGTGTCCTGGCACACGCGCTTTCCAGTGACAGGCAGGGAGGTCGCGGACACGCAGCCGGGCTTCTCACGCCTGGGTGGCGGCCCTCGGACGAAGGGGCCGCGCACGGGCTCAGCGTGGGCCTGCCGGCTAGGGCGCCTGCCCACAAGGGAGGGCAGCTGGGCATCTGTCCACTCTCTCCCGAGGCCCCTCACCGAGGCAACATAATGCTGCCTGGCAGCTTCCTGCGCCGAGGAGGCAGCCCTGGGCAGCGGGGCCCGCGCCGCCAGCGCGCTGTGTCACCTCCAGCCACAGGAACCGCTGTTGATTTTAGCGTCGGCACAGATAATGCGTGTGTCGGGCCTGAGACGCGCCGGGCTGCCCTGCAGACCCTGCTCAAGGCTGCTTTCTTAATTGCTGCTGCTTTCTTAATTGCTGCAGCTTCTGGCGGCTGCCCTGGGGGCACTGTCCACAGTATCACCGGGAGCACGCACCCTGTGGGTGGCCCCTGAAGACGGGGCGTGGCCCCACACACGCACACAGGCTGTCATCAGAGCTGGGGCCCTGTGGTTGCGCTCGGGTAGACGGACGTCTTACATGTGTTCTCACTTCCTGCAGGAGAGAGTCTGAGCCTCGGGATTCAGGATGCAGCAGCAGGCCCATCGGGTAGAAGCTTCACAAGTCCTGCCCTAAGGCGGCAGCGCGTTAAAGCGAGCGGAGATGAGACCGTGAGAACCCCCAGGAGCGTCTATAAAACGCCAGGGGGCGCGACGAGAAGCCCCAGCTGGGAGACGAAGCCGCCGGAGGCGGCGCTGGGGGCCGGCGAGGCCCGGCGGTCTGCGGAGCTCAGAGCCGTGCGGGCGGCAGCTGTAGCGTGTGCGCACGGAAACGGGACGCCCCCCGGGGCTGAGCACGTCCCAGGGAGGCGACAGAAGGCTTTTGAGACCCGTGAGGAAAACACCGGATTGAAAGCAAGTTCTGAAGTGACGATGGCCGTGAGATCGAGAAGAACATCGGCGCTGACGCGGGAAGGAACACCCGTGCCTGGGCTCCAGGGACCGCGCGAGGCAGCGCCGGGGCCAACCCTGGCTGACCCCCAGAGTCACCACCTGACTCCACGCCCTGCAAAAGGACCAGCGGTCCCAGAGGACAGAGCCACCCAAAGGCCCTGCAAGTCTCCAAGGCCAGGACCAGCAGGCACGCCTGGACGACTCGGGACACCTCTGGGCAGAGTGGACCCGCGGCCCCCTCTCAGGACGCCCTCGGGCACGCCGGGGGCCACCAC